CTTTCTTGTAAGGTTTATGTTAATGACATGGTAGGATTATGCGTAAGTCTGCATAACTACATATTTGTTCTCATAATTATCCCTTCTCCTATGCATATTCTTGTCTACTCACGTCACTTTCTACAAACACATATTAGTGTACACATATATTCCAACATACCCATATGCAGTCGTGAGGAGGGTCATTAGAATTCTCCTTTCCCATATCCCTTGCCCCTTTTCCTATCCACTCTTTAAATAACTTTAAAAGAATAGTAAATATCTTATGCGCATTTTTATTATTTCTCAAGTGTTTTTGACTTTTACATCGCCCCCTTCCTACTCCCTTTATGATTCTCGTAACTGAATACAGTCCTGCTTATATCTTACAGTTCTGCTTGTTGATACATAACTCTGTTACTGTATAAATGGATAAGAATCATGGAAAAGGTAATTAAACTTGTCTTTGAATTGTTAAATAGTTATATAAATATTAAGTTCTGTAAATCAATAGACATTCTGTAAATTGCGGATAAAAATTGAAAAAGTTTTTTAATAAGTAATAGTTAATAACTAATCAGACTATTAAGTAAGAGAAATAAAACAAAATCGAATCGATCAAGTCTGGTGTCACAGCCGAAGCTGTCATGAAGAGCCGTGTTTCTCTGCGTTCCTTTCTCAAAAAACAATACACAAATGAGACTTACACATAAACAAAATAATAACTCTTGCTTTCTTTAGTTAATTTTAACAGAAATTTATTATAAAAATTTTCATGGCCATCTCTGCTCCCGTAGCTTGCATATTAAATACAGGAATTTGTCATGTATTTGTTCATGTTCATGATAAAGTAAAAAAAAGCATCTAAAATACAGCGCTCTTTTTTCTGTCCCTTAAATTATAATGACATACTAAGTTACGACGTATGCATACATTTATATAAATATATATTTCAAACTGTATATAAATGGGAATATTAATTGATTATTAAATATATGAGACATAGATAATTAGTCGATAATATTTGCCGCTTATATACATATATTCATAAAAATAAACAAAATTGCTTTCAACTGTGCAACTACAATTTCATTACCTAACCCATTAACATTTATTAATCCATTTGAGCCCTTTAAACTTCGTAATAATCATATTTTACTGTTAATCATGGGGTGGTCAGAGTTTTGGTAGCCTAGTTATCTATGACGCTATGTGATTTATTTTGCCTTGGCAATTTTGGGGTTAAAATCTTTTTCACAGCATAATTTTTTTATTTATTTTTTTTCTTTTCTTTTTCTGACATGTTTTAATAATACAAGTATGAAATTTCTGTGAACATAGTATTTATTTACGTTTGATGTGTAGGCTCTATTAGTTGATAAAAGATGTGACGCACAAATCAGTATTTATTGCGAATCCTATATATCAATTGTGAATAAATACTGTGGTCACAGAAATTACGTACTTGTATCATTAAAACATGTCAAAAAAAAAAGAAATTCTGCTATAAAAAAGTTTAAATCCCCGAGAATGTCAAGTCAAAATAAATTTCATAGCATCATAGCTATTTAGGCTACCAAAACTGTAACCACCCCATGATTTAAAGTAAATTATGATTATAACAAAGCTTAAAGGGATCAAGTGGAAGTAAAACCTGGCTGACGTTGAAGTAACGAAGAATAAAAAGTTCATTTGGAAGAGCTAAACTTTTTATTATAATTAATAAATGTTAATTTGTTAGATAATAAAATTGTTGTTGCACAAATGCAAGTTATTCTGTTTGTTTTCATGAATATATGTAGGAAAGTGGCAAATATTATCAAATTATCTATGTCTTATTAATTCAATAAGCAATTGATATTTTCATTTAAATAGAGATTCATATATGTATTCATTTAAATGTATGTATACATCGTGATTTAGTATGTCGTTAAAAAGTAAGGGCCGAAAAACGAAGTGCTCCATTACAGATGTAATTTTTTACTTTATCAGAATACGAACAAATACATGACAAATTAAGTATCCAATAAGCAAGCTACAAGAGCAGAGATGGCCATGAACGTTTTTCTAATGAAATTCTGTTAAAAATAACAAAAGAAGGCTCAAGTTATTTTTTTTGTTTATGTAATAGTCTTGTTTTTGTATGGTTTTTAGGAAAACGAACGCAGAGAAAGTAGCTCCTAGCCTCGTATCCCCCTATGGATACGGAGCCACTGTGGCCTCATATCTACCTACGGATACGGAGCTACTCTGGCCTCGTATCCCCCTACTGAGCCAGTCAGGCATACGTACTAGCGCCTGATCTACTCTGGCCTCGTATCCCCCTACGGAGCCAGTCAGGCATACCTACTGATGAATGATGAGGATTTCTCAATCCTGATCAGGAAAGATGTCCATAGCACGCGTACGTTACTTGGGAGAGATGAAAGAATAAACAAGCTTGATGCGTCTTGCTCCACAATGCATACATGAATGAGCTGCGAAATATGGCTCTATTTACGTATGACTCTGCTAGAGAAAATATCGAGCCACAAACACAGATATTAAGTGTAATGTAATATCTTACTTTTGATCTCACTAGTGAGGACATGATTCACTCACTTGCTAATTTACATACACTGTCGTTGACGAAAGTTGTCCATATCACGTGTACTTATGTCACTATTAAGAGATAAAAGAATAAACGTGCTCAACTTGATACTGTGATATGATTGTTTTACCATTTGCAACAAGTTTCTGTTGATATAATTAATAACTGTTTACCATTTATTCACTAAATAAATTTTCTGCGTATAGTACTGAATAATTCGTAGGTTTTAATCGTTAGGATAGCATGAGAAAAGGTTACTTGAATAATAATAAAATTTTTAAATTTCATTACATTTATTTAAAACTTGAAAAAATATGAGAAAAAATTGATGGCTCTTGTAAGGGCCAATTGTTTTACAAAATAATATTACGTATTTTGAATTATTCCACATCCTTTTTTTTTTAGGACATGAGCAAAAATTTTCAGAATAATAATTCTTTTTGACTTTTGGCTGAGATGCCTTAACGTGCTTCTCTAAAAGAGGTTTTCGGCTATATTTATCGTCTTTGGTAGGAAAAATCTTGCTGCTTTCCGCCAACATATTTGGTTTATCAAATTACGGACCCATTTTGATGTTATTGCAACATTGTATGAAATAATAAAACCTAAATAGAAATTTGCTTTCTTATAAATAAATAAAAATTATATGAAGCTTCATTTAAAGTGTATTTATTAAGAAGTCATTATTTCACCTCTTCGTCAGAGTCAGTGACATCTTCCCACTTCACATGGAAGTAGAATTTTTTCATTCGATTTACATTGTGGACAGCACTCATGGATCTATATGCACCATGATGGTGGGGGCACGCAGTAGATAATATTGGAAGCTCAAGTGGTGGGTAATAAGTTATATTAATAACTTGCAAATTAAACTTTCTAAGCCACTTTTCCTTCAATTCTCCAATTACAAACATCTTTTTTGCATCTTTGAGATTTTCACGAAGCACATTACCAATTTCCATGTAGTCAATGTCACCTAATTTCCAATCTAATCCATAAAAGGCCAGCTCAAGCCACAAATTCTCACGTTTGTATTTATCATTTAGTCTGCGCCAAGGAAATGGTGGCTTGAAGAGAAATACTTGTGGCTCATCATCCCCATAAAGTGAAAGAATCGCTAACTCTTTAAACACGTAATCATTGCCAGGTTTTATAAAGCCCTGCATATCTACCACGTACTTTATCATGTTGAAGACTGCTAATATTTTTCAATTTCATAGATGTGATTAAACAAGTTTTCTTACGTCACCACTAATAGGATTGTACTCTACGATACGATCATGTAGAATAAGACAGTAAGCAGATTCATTTTCCGGGAAATTCTCTCGTGCTTGAAACTCAAGGCGTACGTCCACTGGCGCGCTTTTTAAAGCTTCATTTTGCTTAGAACAGTCAATTACAATGAGAGGCATGCGTGTGATAAATTCTGTTTTATTTAACATAGGTTCTGGTTCTTTCCCGTTAAAGGCTGCTTGAAAATTTTACATACATATCGTATAATATTAAAAAATGATTTTTATTAATGTCAAGATTAAGATTTTCATGCGGATAATAGTGTGAGTTTAAGAAAAGTTTTACATTGCTTATATTACAATGATCAACGAGACTGGCATTAGAAGCAAGCTCGTTTTTTCGTTTTTTTTTAATTTTTTGTCTATCTGATGCAGTCATGTAAGGCACAAGCTACTTAATCAGAGTCAATGTAATCTTATACTTTTCGAAATTTTGATTGTTAGCTACTTGTATAACGGCGCTCACATCATCTCTTGATCTTGTAAGAATTACTTTATGTTTTGCATTAACCACAACTTTGCGATAGTTTTCAGCAAAACCAAATACTCAAAGGTATTAACACTTTAAAATAAGAATGATCATTAATAATGGATTTTTTCTCTTCAACGTCAATCCAACAAGCATTTTCAAGCTTTAAACTCTGACTGGGAGAAAAAGATATCCATCCTTTCATTAAAGTTGTTAATCCAACATTTTTACACTTGTCGATTTCTATACCATTCAGTTCATATCGTATTTCTTCAAACATATGGGAGATGGCGTTGTTAACTAGTGTTGTTCTTAACAAAGCACCATCTTCTTCATTTGTTACACGTCCAGTAATACGTAGGGAACTTTAAGAAGATAAGAGACATAAATCTTGATGTTGAATCAAGATTTGAATCTCATCACTGTTATGAAATGCTGATGCAATGTGGGGTCAATATGCATGAATCTCATAGTATGCAACCGACTCATCGAATACGACACCTAACTGAATGCTGAGAATCTCTTCCATCTCAGCGTTTTTTGTTTGTAGACAGCAAAAAAAGCACAAGTTATTTGTCACCAGGAGCTCTTTCTTCCAGGCTTAAGTTTTTTAATAATTGCACGTTTTGACATGTTAATGCTTTAGGCATTTGTCGACAACTGATCCGTCTCATTCATTTTGGTTTAGTTTTATAGCTTCATCTAATTTTGGTGGCTCGTGAATGGAATGGAACTTCGACAATCTTATATCCTGGTGGCACGAATAAAAAAAATTCGTGGATGGTATGAAGTTTTTCTCCGTTTACATAGGCTCTGCTAGTGATATTGCACTCAACTCTTAATGTATTAACCTTGAGAATAGCAACAGGTAAATTTGAGTTATGAGTAGTGGTATCTCTAAGAACTCTTTCAGTAAGGCCTAAAAAACGGTCTATAGAATCTTTTGGTCTAAAAACAATATTATAACTACACGTTATTACACTGCAAAGAGTATTATTGTTTGGTTTGATGCTAATAGCTAAATCGTCCGGTTGTAATACATCGATCAGAAATGACTCAATATCTTGAATTTCGTAGCTGCCGGTTGGAAAAAAAACTACTTGATCACCTATGTTAAATTTATTATTACCTTCATCAATATTTAGAATTAAATTGAAAGTTAGAAGTTCTACTGGACCAAGAACGTAGTTATGTGCTGATGGTAACTCGATAGGTGGAGAATATTGCGCTTCAAGAATAGATGATGGTCCTAATAAACTTAATATTAATGACTCTCTCATGGCAGTTTTTCAATGACTAATGTTACTTGAATATTGAGATACGTTTATAAAGGCTGATGATAGAGTTTTTTACAAAGAAAGCTTAAGCTTAAGCTTTAAGCAAAGATGGCCGCAATTGTATGTACCAAAATCATGGTACCTCTGACAACTATATTTGATATTATTAATACCAAAATATAGCATTAGATAAATTGGTGGCTACAGGTCACCAAAAATGTCGAAATACATTACGTTATTGCCTCGTTTTCTTAGGCAACCCAGTGAGTACCAGGACCATTTTTATCATCGAGATTAAATATTGCTGATTCGGAAAAACGTGGGCCATCGGCTGGCAATGCATTTCTCATAAGAACTCTACAAAAATGTGGGATTCTCAAAATTTTTGCATACTTGATGAGATCATAGCCTCTAAGAGCTTGGTGAGGCAGTTTAACATAGAAAATTTTTTCTTTTTTATCTTTCAAGCCTTTTCCAGGTTTTAAATAAAGTCCTAAGCCATTCTTATATGGTTTCAAAAAGAGCCCCCTTCCCAGTAAGAGAGCTTCCATTTTTTTATTATTCCTTTCACTTTCATCTATCTGTTTCCAGTGACTTTAGCATCATTTATAGCCTTGATAACTCCAGTTACACCATTAGTAATAGCACCTAAAGCACTTAAGCCAGCAAACGCAGGAAAAATTTATGATGGAAAGCCAACAGTTTTTTGTGGTATAGGCAATACTCGAGGTATTACAATATTTTTCTTGCCACTAACTTTTTTCACAGCCTCCAACACTCCCTTCAACGCCGAACTAATAACTTTTCGAGCACTTGGAACTACTTAGAACCATAGACTTCGAGGCACTTTGAATCAAGCTTTTCAAAGTGATTTTCTTCTTTTTTCTCATTTTATTCTTGCTAACTTTACTAGAACTCGTATTACGAAGCGATCCCATGTAAAATTTGGATTTCAATTTCATAGCGTTGGTGATGGTAAAAGCAGCAGCTTTTTCTCCTTAACTAGCGTCTTTGACTTTGAATCTTTGCCACGCCTGTTCAGCAAGAATCTTGTTGGCAGTGTTTCAAGCAACGATGTTTTTCTCGATTCTGAGAATTGGTTATATTGTGTTGTTTACAAGCTTTATCTAATGGGTTATTATATTTCAGTTTTAAATGAGTCAGCATACAACAATTATGAGCTTCGTGGAACAGAATATTAAACTTCCTGTTGTGAATTTTAATGAAATCATTAAGCAAGATAAGAAAATAAAACGCCATGGTGATCTGCGACCCGATACTATGAGAGCTGTTCTTTGTGGTCCATCAAACTGTGGTAACACAAACAGTTTATTTGCATTAATGACTTATCCCAACGGATTGAGATTTAGGAATGTTTATTTATACTCAAAGTCGCTGAATCAGCCAAAGTATAAGTTTCTAAAACAACTAATGGAGCCCATAAGTGATGTAAAGTATTTTTCATTTAGTGATCATAAATTAGTCATATCTCCCAATAAGGCACTACCCAACTTCATAATGATGTTCGACGACATTGCCTGTGAAAAACAAGATAATGTGGAAACCTTTTTCTGCATGGGACTTTACAAAAGTATTGATTGCTTTTATCTTTGTCAATCATATGCTCAAGTTTCAAAGCATTTGGTCAAAGATAATTTAAATCTCTTAGTGATATTTCGACAAGATGATATGAATTCAAAGCACATCTATAATAATCATGTTAATACCAACATGATGTTTAATGAATTTAAAAAATTATGTGTTAACTGTTGGGGAGTAGAAAAACGTGAGTTTATTGTAATAGACAAGAAAAGAGATGTGTATGATGGCAGGAACAGAAGAGGTTCTGACGCTTTTGCTATAAATATTACTCATGCTCTTTAATTGTGTATTAGTCTATTGTTAACTATTAAGCGGCCAACATGGATGCTTTTTGTCAGAAAAAAAAAACATTCTTCGTCAAGTTGAAAAAGCAAGAGAAGCTGTTAGACGTAAGCATCGATTATTGAAGTCAGGCAGAAAAAACTTTGAAAAACAGATAGGGAAGACTTTCAAGCCTATTACTGAAAAAAGTGATGATGAGTATTGAGCGCATGATATCAATGAAAATTTATCCATGAACCCATACTTATAAATTCTTGATAGAAATAAGATGGAATTTTATCGATTTATGGGATAAGAAAAGAAAGAGACGGACGATATATACTTGGTGATTCACCTATATATTTCAAAAAAAGTCAATTTTACATAGAAGATCTAAAATACCCAATGACTAATGGATTAATGGAGTTACTTATAAAAAAACATTCTAATGAAAAGCACATGACACCAGATAATTTAGCTCAATACAAACAAATCTTAGAAACTTCGAGTGCACATAAAAAAAAATTTGACAAAAATGAAACGATTCGCCCACACAACAGTAACAAATTTAACAATGTTATTTCCCCTTTATTTAATCTCACACAAGTAAAGAAGAAAAGTGGATCCATACCTTTGTTTAAAATTGCTTAGCTCAACATGCAAATGGACTACGTTTATTTGGACGATCCTAACGAACTGGTCAATCGACTTTGATGACTAGTGGCAGAAAGGTCAGCTGGCAATTTTAGTCATATAAATGAAACAAGTTTAATAGTTGAGGAGCTTCATGGAGCTCATATTATATATTGAGCTTGGTTATCAATTTGACTCCAGTATCAAATGAACTTCGACGTATTCGGACATGGATCAGCTAAGTCGAAAAGTGCTAGTCGAGGTCCTCGAGGATTGGGGTATAAGCTCACCACAGATGGTCAATTTGATTTGGAAGATAAAAGATTGTGAAATGTTGCATCAGCTGTTTATCCTTACCATGCTGTAAATCTCACTACTTTAAAGAAGAAAAGAAGTTTTATTTTAGATGAACGCGAGAAAATAAGTCTACTACTAATCCTCTTTGGAGTTGTCGATAGATTAAACTCAGTCAGTTGATGCAGCTCCTAATATATGAATCTCCCCCCTTTGTTTGACAGAAATTTGACTTGTTGATTAGTAGGCTTCTCTCCAGGTTTGCTTCTCTAGTAGGTAGTTTTTTCTTTATTGATGAGTCTTGGGATAATGCTATAGTGGCCCAAGGATAGGGTATCTGTTTAACCACACTGCAGATAACGCTTATCATCATAATATGCACTCAAGGCTATTTTATTTTCTTCTTCTGAGTAGAGTTGATGATGACGTGATCGAATACTTTTCTGCTCTTGAGACATGCTTGTATTTTCACACAGACATTAGATATAATCATCAATAGTGATTGTAGCCTGTATCACTTTTTACTAGCTGAGAGTTTTCAACAAAATCAGGTTCTTTCTCAAATAATTCGAGCCCTTCTATTATTTCTAATCGGTCGTAAAGTCGTTGCATCAAAGTTTGAATCAGTGCCACAGCAGCTTGAACTTTATGTTTATCTGATATTGTTAAATCTTGACGGTTGCAAAAAATATCGGCATTTTGAAGAGCTTTGTAGCAATAACTTAACATTTTATTTGTGTGTATATTACTCTCACTTTTTATAACTTCTTGATATGATTTATGTATGTTTATTGCCTCATCTTTAAAATATTGAGCAGCAAACATGATTCACTTTTTTAGTAGACAAGCCTAATTCTCTTTGATAATTTTCTAGAAACTAAACGGTTCATGCTACGACACGGGTTTTATATTTACGTATATCAGACTAGTGAGTTGGCAAACTCAGCAGAGGGTGTAAAAGAGAGAGTCCAGTCAATGGGAGTTATCATAGTACATCTATATACATGCAAAATATATATGCCATCTACTGTTTATGTCTACTATCCTATACTATGTATGGTAAATTCTCATTGGTTGAAGACTCTTCTCTTTTGCACCCTCTAAGCTGAGCTTGCCAGCTCCATAAGATATGGAAAGTGTTACTCATAACATCAATAGTATTAATAGTGGGTAGGGTGTATAGTGCTTATTTTGAAAAGTATCCTTTTTCACTGTTCCTATGGCACTGTATTCTATGTCGCAATTGCTTATATACACTTTCAAATGAATGATTTAGGTCAGTAACGTGATGGCTACCATCAATGATATAAAACCTTATGTGAACTCCTTGAATCTGCATATGTTACAAAAGAAAGTTCTTCTTAAATATTATGGCGCGTAAATAAATACTACATATGAAGCTCTAAGTCAAGGCTCCCAAATTTTCGGGAGTTTGCCGCATGCGCAGTGTGCAATCACCCTCTCTCCATAGAGCAAGCTAGAGCGGGAGAGCCCCCCTACCCAGACCTTTAACCTAAGCCCCACCCCCTTCTCACAACTTAAATATGACATCTTGTCAAGTACTAATACTATCGACGATAGCCGCGCGGGCTTAGTCTTTTGCTCCAGCCAAACTTGCTAGCTTTCAAATCTCACAGATCATTTTTTTTTTTTTTTTCATCTGCACAACTTTTATTTGTTAGGTTTTTATATTGAAAAAACATTTTGTTGGTTTGTTTCCTTTGGTACGCTTGGTATATGCGACGAGTCATCACTATAGACAATTTCAACAAAGCCAAATAATAAATTTTTTTTTATTTAAAAAATGCTTGTAGTTTTTTTTTTTTTTTTTTAATGTACGTTATGATGCTTTTTGTCAGAAAAAAAAAACATTCTTCGTCAAGTTGAAAAAGCAAGAGAAGCAACATATGGGAGATAGCGTTGTTAACTAGTGTTGTTCTTAACAAAGCACCATCTTCTTCATTTGTTACACGTCTAGTAATACGTAGGGGACTTTGAGAAGGTAAGAGACATAAATCTTGATGTTGAATCAAGTTTCAAATCTCATCACTGTTATGAAATGCTGATACAATGTGGGGTCAATGTGCATGAATCTCGTAGTGCGCAATTGACTCATCGAATACGACACCTGACTGAATGCTGAGAATCTCTTCCATCTTGGCGTTTTTTTGTTTGCAGACAGCAAAAGAAAGCGCAAGTTATTTGCCACCAGGACTCCTACTTTCAGGTCTAAGTTTTTTAAGAATTGCCCGTTTTAACGTGTTAACTCTTTGGGCGTTCGTTGACAACTGATCTGTCTCATCCATTTTGGTTAAGTTTTATAGCTTCGTCTAATTTTGGTGGCTNCACTATTGTTAGCCACATTGTTTTTTTTTGAAAGGAAGCTCATGATTAAATTCTAAATACCTGTATTTTAATGGTAGTGAGATAACTGACAAAGTCACTTTCACTCACAGCGTTATCATCACTGTTATGATTATCATAATTGTTTTCATTTGTTTTATTTTTAATGTTATTCACGTCATTGTCACCATTAGAGCCACTTACACTAATATCGATTAAATCCTTTTTTTAAAGAAAAGTTCATGATCCAATCTAAAGTACGTATGGTTCAATGGTAAAGAGATTCTTGGTAAGCCACTCACTGAAATACTCGGTTCACGATCGTTTTCTCTTTTTAAATTTTTATCTTTATCAACACTATCATAATTATCATCATCGTTAACATTTTTATCGTTATCAACACTATCATCATCATCATCGTTTATATTTTTGTTGTTATCAACACTGT